AAAAAAATAATGATAATAACGACTCTGTTATAGCATAGTGGAATCAGGCGCTCGTAAATAATGGTTTAAAGGGCAATTGGAGTTATTGGTATAACGTCGATTCGATTCACAAACCAGCTACATGCAGATACGCAATTTAAAAAAAAATTTTTGCATGTAGCCGGTTTGTGAAACCTATCGACGATAATTTTAAAGCTCGTGTATTTGTTTCGTCTTTTTAAAATGAAAAATATTCACCTATCTTGAATAAAGGTTGATATATTTTCCATACAAGTGGGTATGAGTTTCCTGGTGTATGAAGTAAATTATGAGAAAATGGCAGCCAAAGTATGGTGATATCCACATCTTGGGTGTCCTTGGAAATTGCAAATTTACATTTATTGTGCTTTTGATCAACAACTTTTTCTCCGGTAAAATTAACAAAGAAATGTGTGTTAAACATGATCTAAAGGTTTTAAACCTAAAGAAAAATGTATTACCAACTGCCCAACAGGTGGAAAAATGGCGTTTTCTTTGGTTTTATTATTTCGACTAGCGCCTGATTCCATTACGATGCCACTCAAATAGCATTAATTTGTATTGCACACTATGTCGCCTAACAGCAACCTCTATGCACTCTTCAATCAATTTTGCCATGTTCTTTTTCGTTTTTGTGGGGTTTTTTTGGATTGTTTGTGTTTCTTTGCTTTGTTTTTTCGAGGTGAGTTTTTTTTTTAAGGGGGTGGGGGTGGGTGGCAACTAATACATAAACAGTGGTGCCCGGCTAACAACAATTTCCTTGGGAAGCAGGGGTTGGCTGCCGTAAGGCAGACTTTGGTATTAACTGAATTTTCAGAGGTAGTGGTGGGGAGGAGGGGGAGTGCGGCTACAGTAAGCTTCAAAGATGATGATAACCCTACGCCCCCCCCCCCCTCACACAGGCACGTACACACTCTCGCATGGGTCCTAATTGCAGGGCGTGGGGCTGTTGTTATTTCAGAAAGTGATATCCATCTTTGACAACTTCCTTTTGTGGGTCAGTCCAAAGCCAGATTTTATTATCATTCCAGTTCCAGTCATTATTAGACTTTGCCAGGTAGATTGCTAAACAAAGCATCTTTGTTTAGCATAACCGAAAAAAAAATGTTAGATACAAACTAAAACAAAGCAACAATGCTGAAACAAAGAGTTACAAATTAATTTCTTCCCATCCGCAGAAAGAGAGAAAGATGGACCAAGGAAAGCTGAACAGGATACTGAGCATGTTCCACCTGAACCGCCAGGAGAACGGAGAAGAGAGCGACTACGGGTTCTCTTGTGGCAACCTCTTCCGCTGCTTGTGCTGTCCGCAGAAAAAGCCGGAGTCGGAAACAGTGAAGAGCACGGCTGCCATCATGGAGAAGCTGGATCAGCTTGAGAACTCCATCAAAGAACTACGGGTGAGATCGAGAGCAAAAACATACACCTCGTTCAAAGAGTTTTGTTTGGTTATAGTAAGAGTTTAACATAACTGGCAACACAATTTGGTCAAATACGTAAGTGCAGAAGGTTAGGATGTTAAAAAAGAGCGCTATACTTCTGTGCAGGACTTCTCGATGCACGTCACATCAAGTCTCAAATTAAATTTAGATGTGTACAGGTTTAGAGCCCCTTCTTCACTCCTTGTTATTTAAGAGGCGGGACCCCCGAAAACAACGTCCTTCTCCGATAGGACAGAGCCAAAATGGTGGTGCACCTTATAAATTCCGTCAAACAACCCAAGCTCAGAACGCCTCTGCAGGGTATTTGGGGGGGGGGGGTGTTTTACGGCGCTCGCAACTGCATTAAGTCATATGAGCGCGCGGGGCAGATTAAACTTTTTCAGATGGTAGGAAATTTTTGAATTTTGCCCGGGTGGCGGCCGAAGCCTACTCCTATCGATTTTAGACCCCCCAAAGGATCTTTAACGTGCACAATTTGCACACGGGCCCTCCTAGAATTTTGCCCTTGTCCGAGAAAGCTAGGTATAGATCTTTCCTACTAGAAGATCAGGGGTGTGGCTGAAAGACAGCAGTAAGAAGGAGCCAGGGAGTAGCAGTAGAAAGGCTGCTGAAAGAGTCAGGAACCCAGAGAAGGGGACAAAGGAGGTGATGGGATAGGGGCAGAAAGAGGAGACAAAAGCAGACGACAGAACATTGTTAGAGAGCAGAAAAGAAGGTGAAAGGAGACAATTTTAGAGAAGAACATTTTTTGGTCGTTACCCGGTTTCGAACCGGGGACTTTTGAATGAGAGGCCAACACCTTAACCTCTAGGCAACGATCAGAGCCTCCGCAGGGTATTCGAACCAGGGTTCCATAGTCTTGCCTGATGCCAACTGAGCTCAGTGTACGTCTCCAGTGTATTCAGTATAACTCAGAATTATTTTGTCACGCTGGACTCTTATACAATCTGTTCTTGTAACATCATCAACGACAGGACCCCAACATGAGCGGTGACGACAGTCTGTTAGAGGCCCCAGAAGTGATAATTCAACCTCCGACCCCGAACTCACACGCCCCGAGTGAACACGGACAGACCATTGAGACGGAATCACAACACTCCAGCTCCAAGTCTGTCAGTGTCAGAGGTACGGCTTACATTAAAATTTGTTTTTTAAAAATAGTTTGCAACTTGTTGAATGCAGATGGCAATATATCTGATTAGTGGTTTGGGTCCGAAACAGGTCTCTGCCAAGCACTGTAATGCCATAATGAACATTTCAGTTTCGAAAGAAATGCTTGACAGGTAGTCACATAGCATGGCAAAATATAACATAATATCACCAGAAAAACTACATCCTAAAATTATTCTTTTCAAATCCTCCCTTTCTCTCTCTCTCTTTTTCTCTCTCTCTCTCCCTCTCACTCACTCTCTCTCTCTCTCTCTCTCTCTCTCTCTCTCTCTCTCTCTCTCTCTCTCTCTCTCTCTCTCTCTCTCTTTTTTTTCTCTCTCTCTATCTCGCTCTCTCGCTCGCTCGCTGTCTCTCTGTTCTTGCCTCCCCCTTCTCTTTATGTCTAACTCAACCTCTCTTTCTCTCGTTATGCCTCCCTCCCCTCCCACCCTCTCGCTTCAACGTGTTTTCTCTCTCTCTCTCTCTCTCTCTCTCTCTCTCTCTCTCTCTCTCTCTCTCTCTCTCTCTCTCTCTCTCTCTCGTTCATTTCTCCCCCCCCCCCCACCCCGCTCTCTTTTAAAACGTCATAAAACGTCTTTACATCTCAAAACGTACAAGTAACTAATAGTATAATCCTATTTTCTTCAGAGCAATCCCTGTACGGTGACCCAGTGAACAGATACGAGGCCGAGTTCTCTCCCTTCTGGATCCAGGACGGTGAGCTTGGATACGGCAACGTGCGCTACCTGGGCACAGAGGAGACCAGGTTTTGGCGGGAAGTCATTGAGAAGTACCTGCATCCTATCGCCAAGGACAAGCAGAAGCAACAGAAGGTGTGGCGCTTGTGTGTGTGTAAATAAATGCAATAAATAAATAAATAAATAAATATTTATAAAACATTATATATATATATATATATATATATACACAGAGAGAGAGAGACTGAGAGAGAGAGAGAGAGAAAGAGAGAGAGAGAGAGAGAGAGAGAGAGAGAGAGAGAGAGAGAGAGAGAGAGAGAGAGAGAGAGAGAGAGGCAGAGAGCAAGATAGAACAAGTATGACAGTGCTCTATTTTCCCTCTTCAGTTGGAAGTCGATCTGAAAGAACTTCGCAATAAGGCCAGCCTCATGTTCTTTGTTCTCAACGCTCTCTTCATCGTCATCATCTTCGCACTACAGGTCAGTATACACCTTATACTTATAGATATTAATAAGAGAGTGAACTATGAGAGAGAGAGAAAGAGAGAGAGAGACAGACAGAGAGACAGAGAGACAGAGAGACAGAGAGCGAGAGAGACTGAGAGACGGACAGACAGACAGACAGAGAGAGAGTTAGAGTTAGAGAGAGAAAACTATGTATTTTGGTATGTATGTGTCTGTGTGTTTGTGTGTGTGTGTGTGTGTGTGTGTGTGTGTGTGTGTGTGTGTGTGTGTGTGTGCGCGTGCGTGTGTGTATGTGTGTGTGTGTGTATGCATGTGTACGTGGATGTGGATGTGTATGTGTATATGTGCGTATGTGTTTTTGTGTGCGTGTGTGTGTGTGTGTGTTTGTTTGTTTGTTTTGACAGAGTTTCCTAATTCCATTTCTTTGTACAGGGATTAGAGGTTTGAATTTGTTAGGAGCAAAGACCTCTTGTTTACTAGGTCATGTCACATATTGGACTATATGCGGATATTGCTGATTTAGAACATACCCTCGCCAAATACGCTATCTTGTTTCCCAACAACTACCTCGTTGTTCATACGAAAATGCAGAGCACGTACTAATAGTAAGTAGGACCCAACCTTTGCTCTGAATTATACCAATTCGTTAACTGCAAAATAGGCACTGGGTCTATATTTAGTTTGCGGTGTTCATTCGCGTACGGTACTGATTGTATTGAGTTCATTCTAGGGGTCCTGAACAGTTTGGCATATTATTTTTATGTAGCATGTACAGAGGAGGAAGAAGAGAAGGAGGAGTAGGAGGGGGGGGGGAGTAGGAGGAAGATGAAGAAGAGAGGAAGGTGGAGGAGGAAAAGGAGGAGAATGCAGGAGAGAGGAAAAAGGAACTGTAGGAAGAAGAGGAGAACGGTGGAGAGGGGGTCAAAGCCGAGTACAAAACGAGGAAAGTTTAATCAATATGCGTATTTTGATCGCACTATAAGAGTCCACTCGAGGAAAAAGTCTTCGATACAGACACTATCATCGATGTTTCCTCTCTCTTCAGTATACAAATGCTTCTGAGCAAGGCAATGGTCTGGCCATCCCGCTGCCCTGTACCAATGAGGACGGCCAGGTGCTCACCCTCGAGCCAATCTCACTTCTGTTCATGGCCAGCTTCGGTATTTCGCTCATAGTTCAGTTCTTGTCCATGTTCTTCCACCGAATGGGGACCTTCTTGCATATCATCTCTTCCACTGAGGTACGTTTCTCGGTTGATTTGTTTCCAATGCGTCAGCGAATTTTTATTTTGGCGTTAACAGGCTACACTTTGAACTGTTGTATTAACTTACGGCGTGTAGTGTGATGTAATATATATATATATATATAACCTACATATATTTACTAACAAAAAATTAAATTATCAACGTTGATATTATGAAAATAAAGCGATTTTTGTTCTTTTTTAAGCGTGAGTATATATTTTGATATTTTGTAGTAAAAATAACAGGTAAAATTATAAATTTGGTTTTTTTTTTTTACTGGTGACAGTTGTAGTAGGCTACAAAACAATGAATGGTTGAGAGAAGTGTAATTATGGTTGTACCATTCAGTCGAAGTAACTGAACATACAGGTATACGACATACCATTATTAAAAATGCTTTCAAGCTCCTTTTTAGCAGATCATGTACATTACTTGAAATGAGAAGGACTTCTAAATGGAGTGTATTATGAAAGCACATGAAACCCACTAAAGCTAAAAGTAAATGAGCATCTTTTTCTGACACTCGTCTGAAAATATTAAACATGTGGGTATCCTGCTTACTGCTTTCATGAATGGTAATAGTTCTCTGTGACTTTCTACTCCTTTTGTCATAGCCATGTGTATAATATTTCAATACATACATTTACAATCATAAACAATATGCCAATTGTAACTATAATTAATCAGATTTCATCGTTATGTACTAGTATTGAAACATCTTTGTATAACCCAACCTCCAGGTTAACTGCATGAAGCTTAACCAATCGGAGATCGCAGCGATGGAGGTCAGTGACAAACTGGAGCTTGTGCAGCAGTTGCAGAAATTCGAGGACGATGATGACGACACAAGGTAGGGTTTCTTTTTTAAAAAGTTTGAAGTAGGAGTTTTACGGCATTGAAATAGAATTTAGTTACATTATATGCCGAAGAATAGTGGTGTTACTTTAGAGTAATGTACAAAGGAAAGGAGGAGATGTAAGGAGGATAGATTTTGGATTGGACCCAAGGTGGAAACCACACCAGAGCGCCTACGAACTACCAGAGGGGTATTGTAATAAGTTAATATTGTTATGAATGACTTAAAACTGTTTCGAAGTATCGTAATTGAATCTTTAATCAGACATGGTTAGTGACATATTCCGAGTCAGATGTCATTTCTACGCTGTGTAGTTTAGTAACGCTCACAATGTTGGTGCAATATGAAAGAACGAAAAACAAACTTTTTAGCATTTTGTGACTTTCATGCTTTATATATATATTCTGACTTCAATGTAAATAGCTAAGTTCATGTGCATGCTTTTCTTTCTCATTTTTAAAGAATACATATTAGGCCTAATTGCAGTCGTGACTATCCCACAAAGGAAACAATGGATCTGCCATCTTTTCCAAAATCTGTACTTTAATTAAACCTATGATTCATGTCGACCCCCTTGACCCCACCACAAACCCTGCTTTCATCGTCATTGTCGCCATTTTACAGATCTGACATTACGTCTACTTCTGTGGACGGAGCGGACGAGAGCAGCAGTAATACAGACGAGTCGCCCAGGTTGAGCCGCAGGAAAACTGTCATGAGACTAACCCGGAAGCGGAAGAGACAAGAGCAAAAGGGAAGCAACTTGACCAGCAAATTCATGGAAAGGTAGGTTCTAAGTAAAACACGTGTAGTTATGGTTGTTTTGCAGTGAATCATTTCGTTGAGGAGTGGGGACACATTATTGTGGTTTTTTAAAATATAATGTGTACTCTTTGACTAAATTCTGATACTACATAAGACTAGAATAAGCATACTGTTTGTTATAAGGTATATTTTGATATGTGGAAGAGATAATTCTATAGGCCATTTTGTGTGCGTATGTGTGTGTGTGTGTGTGTGTGTGTGTGTGTGTGTGTGTGTGTGTGTGTGTGTGTGTGTGTGAGTAAGACAGAGTGCAAGTCAGTGAGCGTGAGATAAGGATAAGAGGGAAAGAAAGATATAAAGAAAAGAAAGAAAGAAAGAAAGAAAGAGAACATTAGCGTATCTGATAGAGCACGCACTTGATTTGCCTGCCTGCACACTGGAGAGAGCAAAGGCTTCTGATTGTTTCTCCGCCCGTGTTTACGTATTTACGTGATTGTTGGTCTATGAACCAGTCCACGTGCCTTACATTGTGCTTCATAAAGTGCTACCGAGATCTCTGAGTGAGCCAGACGCACGCTCCCTGGAAGGCAAAAGGCGAAGTGGCAAAGGCGAGGGGGGAAGGCAGCAGCCTAAATTCCTGGCATTGCACTGTGAGCATAATAGAGGCGCTCACCCAACGCGCGACACGTCGGACGGAAAGGGAGCTCACAGGGTAGAAGCGAGGCACGGCCACCATTGAGCGAAGGAGGAGGGGAAAAAATATAACAAAAAATAACAAGAAAAAACATCGTGAGCAAAATTACGGAATGGCAACACACTACAGCCAGGTGAACACGGCTGATGCAAGGTGTAAGTTGATTTTCTTTTAAATGCTGCTTAGCTTGCATGAAATTATGTACCCCCC